ATTCCATCATGTTCCTCAGCTCCTCTATTTTTTTATCTGTGTCCTCTCTAGATTTATTAATCATGTCTTGCACTATGGGCACAATATCTGCTGTTATCTGAGAAATTATTTCTGATTTCAATTTTTTCAGATCCTCTTTTGTTGCCAATTCAGGGAGTCCAGGTGGTTGAGTATCAGATTGTTCTGTCTCATTTCCCTTTGGGGTTGCTGTAGGTGATCTGGAAGTCTGTTTTTGAAGCTTGTTTATGTGTCTTCTCATTTCCACTGGGTTGAGGGGTGCTGCTGGTAACCCCACTGCTCACCTCCTCTGCCCTGGGAGCAGTGGAATGGCAGCCCGGCAGCCTCCTCTTGGGAGCTGGGATTGGCTCACCTCCTCTGCCTTGGGAGCAGTGGAATGGCGGCCCGGGAGCCTCCTCCTGGGCACTGGGATTGGCTCACCTCTGCCCTGGGAGCGGTGGAATGGTGGCCAACCATGTCCTGTGTTAAATATTCCATTTTAGCCCAATTTGTTTTATCCACAGATGCTCAACTATTTGAAAATCAGCCCACAATTCTGATTTTCAAAGCAAGTGCCTATCAGATTCATTGTAGAGATTTTTTAAGGAATTATATGGTATTTAAATACTAATATTTTCCCAGTTCTACAAGTTGCAAACAAAGAATACTGGGGGTTAGGGGAAGAGATAAGGTATCCAGATTGTATCATCTTTCTCTCTTTTTGGATAGAGTTTAGAGAACCCTATTCCTGTCTTTACAAAGAATTTCTTTGGTAGGACTTTGTCCTTCCGTTCACCTTGTAGCAACCTCCAGTTCCCAGATGTATTTGGTAGCTTTGTAGGTTCCAATGGAGAAAGTGAACTTGACAGTCTCAGTAGGATTCTCTCAGTTCTAGGACTGTTTCTATTGTGTCTTCTACTAATGTTTGTAGTCTGGCAAGTTAATTCACCGTAACCTAATTCACAAACAGGTGATGACTAAACAGAAAAGCTTGATATGACCATACAGTGGAAGGCTGTGCTTGTAGCATGACCAGTATGAGCCATTGACCTGGGACATTCTCTCCTGATTGATAAATCTATTCTGAGAAACCAGTTACAGATTTGAAAAGAGATGTGAAGGGTCTGAAGCATACTTTCATCAAGCAAGGATGCACTACCTTTTTCTAATCTTAGAGATTTTTTTTCCTACCAATTTCCTTTCTTAATGTATTCCCACTGGCTTGAACCACCGGTGGCACATGTGTGACTGTCCCATCAGGCAGCATGGGACCGTCCCATTGAATGGTACAAGCTGGCGGATGGGACAGTCATGCATGTACCACTAGTGAGTAATCCAGAGCTTTCTGGAAGAGAGATGTGTGAATTATAGCCCTGTTGTGAATGTGTTTATCCATTCACTTCTATTACCACTACTTCAGTTCTAGCTTCATCATCTCTGGAAACTTAGCCTAATCAGTATACATTAACAAGTTGTTGTTTTCTGAAAAGCTTCTCATAGATGTCTCATTTTATATGTTGGCATTGAATCTCACTCGTTTTTTATTTTTCCATTTGATGGTAGGGGAGAGAGGGATCATTTTCTTACTGGTACTCAAATTGTGGAGTTCTCATATCTAATAAGCTATTAGTGATCATTTTACACATTCTCTTTCTCTTCCTACCTCCAGTATTTCATTTCCCATTCTTAGTGTCCAGCTATGAATCATAACTTTTCTTTCACTAAAAAAACCAGAAATGTCCAGAGAATTGCTACGTAATTTCACTGCTGTCCTGATGACCTACCTACATCTGTGTCCATGTGCTCTGGCACCCTTGCTGCTGGTGTGAATAGACTGCACTGATCCCCTTCCTCTCACCTGCTGGGGGCCATCATCTTGATTTCTGTGTCCCCTCATTTACCTCTACTGAGTCTTTCACATTCACTTAGAAATATATTCATCACTTCCCTCCTTGAACATCTCTCCCTTCTCCACATTCTACTCTACCTGCTAGCCCATTGGTCTTCATTTACACCTAAACTGTTTGAAAGGGTTGTTTCTATCTCATCCTTCCCATTTCTCTTCAGCCTGCTCCATTCAGTCGTATCCCTAACTGTCCCATGGAAATGTTCTTGCTAAGGCCCTCAGAGTCTCCACACTGCTCCACCCAGTGTGTTGTCTTCTCAGTTCTCATCTGGTCCACTTTAACAACTTGATCTCTTCTTTTTAAAACCTTTTATCTTTTGGCATTCAGAATACCACTGTTTGTTATTATTTTCTTCTTACCTCATTTCTATGGTGTTTTTGCTGGTCTTCCCTTATATTCTTGACTTTGAAGGACCTTGAAACATCAGAGTTTTTAGGGATCAGTTGTTGGATTTCTTATCTCTGTGTGTAGTCATAACTCTTCTGGCTTGACAATTCCCAAGTGTATGTCTTTAACTCTGACTCTCTCCTCACTCCAGACCCATATGAACTTTCTGAGTCAATATCTCCACTTGGCATTTGGAGTTTAATATATCCTAAACTCAAATCCTGATTCCATATTCCCTCAAACCTGCTTTGTCCTGTCTTCTCATTCCTAGAGAATAAATTTTCCATCAGGTAATCACTTAAGCCAAAAATGTTGAATTTGTCCTTGACCTCTCTCTCTTCCTCTCATTCCCTACATTCCTACCATCTGCAAATCTGTTGGCTTTGACCTATCACAATATCACAAACACAATAATCTAACCACTCCCTACCACCTCTATTCCTGCTGCCTTAGATCAACCCACTGTGGCCCTACTGGACCATCCTGCTTGGCTTCCTTGCTTCTTCCATAGCCTGTTCTCAAGACTGCTGCTAGCATGGTCCTTTCAACATATATGCTAGATCACGTCAAAGGCCTTTGTGTCTTTTCATCTTGCTCAGTGTAGCCGTTGTCAGTAGCTGACCAGGCCTGGCTCCCTGTGGCCTCATCGATCTCCCTCTCTCCCCTCCACTGCACCCTCCTTTCCTTTGTGCCTCCTTCCATCTTAGAACTGTTATCTGTGCTGTTCTCTCTGCTTGCCATACTCTTCCTCCAGGCCCTCTCTGATAACACAGATGAAACTAGCAGCTTTCCTTCTGCCCACTTAGCACTCCTCAGCATGCTCAGTTTTTACCCACAGCACTTATGCCCACCAAACACATGGTATCCCTTATTTGTGTTTGGTTTTATTATCCTTTCTAAAACAATAAAATATAAGGAAAGGTCTTTGTTTCATTTTATTTTTTTGTCAAATGTGTGGAACAGTGTCTTGCCCCCAGAACCTAACTATTGAATGAGTAAATGAATAAATGAAGGAATGAGCACATCAATGAAATAGCAGAAACTGTGGACTGGAGTCCTGTCTAGATTTTGTTAACATGTGATATGATAGAAATCCCCCTATGCCCTAGCATGTATTAGTCTTGCATTTGTGATGTTGCTTCTCTTCTGTAGCTTAGTAGCTAACTTTTCTTCATATTATTAAAAAGAATGTTACTTTGCCTTATTTATTTATTTTTATCTCTTGATAAAGAGAGATTAATCTGTTTAAAAAACATGCCTAAAAGTTTGCTTTTCAATGATATTTTGGTAATTGCAGATGTGGCTCTTTGGGGGACACTGATCTAGTCTGGGATTTCTCCTAGTGTGAAGATGATTTAGCTGAGAAGAGGAGGAGCAATGAGGTGCTCCGCAAGGCCATCGAGACCTACCAAGAGGTGGCTAGCCTGCCTGATGTCCCCAGTGACCTGCTGAAGCTGACTTTGAAGCGGCGGTCAGAACGACAGCAATTTCTGGGTAAGATGTAGCAAGAGTTAATTCTGTAGGAAATCGTATGCTTCTATCTTGAAGGGCCTAAAAACTGGGCATACTCTTAGAAAAGTTGAGTTATATGGAAGGAAACCTGAGTTTGACAACTAATTCCAAGTAATTTATCTGTGTATTTTACAATGACCATCTCTAAAACTGAAATAGCAATCCCAACATCAGTAATTACTGCAAAGATGCAGATACCATTTTTTGTACTCTCCTTGCCCTCCACCATTTTAAAAGCAAGGCAAATGGTATGCTGAAGGCTTGGATAATTTGTCTAAAGAACCATAGCTAATTGATTAATAGGTCCAGAATCAAAAATTTCCTGGGTTACCCAATTCTTTTCTCTATGAATATAACAAACTGATTCCTAGAGGTTTAAATTATTTTTAGGACTATTTTTTTTTAGAGGAATGTTAGGAGTTCCAGGTACCTCAACCATTTTGCATGTAAAACTTGAACTTTTTCCAAGGAAAATGCTAGGAAATATATTTTTAATCATAAAGCAAGTTTGTAAACACTTCAGAAAGAGCAGTATAAAGCATGCTCTCTATTGACCCACGTTCCCGCACCCAGGACCGCTGTATGCTACCTTCATGTTAGCCAGGCTTATGTTATCTTTTCCAAACATATCAACTAGGAGAATGGGATCTAAGCCACATGTCATTGCTGAGGTTGGTGCTTGGATGGCTGCATGCTTACATGAACAGGTTCTAAATGTTCCTTAGAGGAGTCTTGAATAAGTACATTTCTCAGGAATGGAATAAAGGGTCCTTTGTAGATGACCAGAACTCTGAAAGGTTTGGGCCTGAGTAAGGATTCAAGACTGTAAGAAACAGTCTGTTAGATGTCACTTCACAAAAGCCTGGCCAGGGGAAGGAAGCATGTAGCACAAATTCAGGATAGAAAAGAGCAGGCTGGACTCAAGAGTGGAAACAGGAGTGCTTGCCTCTGAGGCAGAATCACTTTTACTGAGTTTTCCTTTTACCCTTGCCACTGTATGACTCTGTTTAGCGTAGTTTATTGATTCTGTCTTTAGAATGGTCATATTTTGCTCATCATGGATTTTTAATATTAATTTTCCCTCTTAAAAATACATTAGATATTATCAGCTTATGTTTTTGGCTCCTTTTAAAAATTCATGCCAAGTTCTTCATTTATCTCACCCTATTTCCAGCCCTCAAAATAAGACTGCCTATGAAATCTAATTTTTTCTCATCAGTCTTTCAATATTTGCTCATTTCTGCTGAAATGAGAAGGAGGCAAGGTCATTTGAGGAGAGCCTAACTCAAATGTGCAGAAAACTTTATTGCACATCTCAGAATTGTGAAGTTGGCTCAAAATGGGGTTGAGGTTCATGGTGCAGACTGTACGGGACATGAGCAGATGGCTGCAAGAGGGATTTTTGGCTGGGTGCTGTGATTCACAGGGGAAGTTTAGAAGCACAGAAAACTAAGCGTAGGGGAGCAGGTAGGGAGAAGGCAGAGTGCGAGGAGAGTGGAGTCAGATTTGTTAATAAGGAAAGGACTGACTGAGCAAACCTACCCTGAAGTGTGGCTTGCAAGACCGATGGGCCAGCAGCAGGCACAGGCCACAGGGTGAATAGGTGAAGCTTTCTTTGTGCCAGATGAATTTTCATGGAAATAAACAACTCAGGTCATTTCTGTACTCTCACTGCAGTCTTACTCTACTCTTGGACAACTAAAGCCACATTTGTGGGCTTTAGGTAATTAGATTGTTTTAAATATGTGCTAGGCTTATTTTGCACATTGTCTTGTATAGTTTGTGCTTCCAGCTATGACAAGGAGCAGTAAGAACCGGGCCAAGACATTTTAAATTTTCATAAGACAGCCTTAACAATACATTGAAGCTGGGGTTTTCGTGATTCATATAGTACATAGTAGCCTGTCGTCCACCAGAGGGTCCCATAATACTGGGTAATGTATCCATTGCTGCACAACTGGTCAGTACTTAGAGAAGAATACACTTTTAATTGGAGATTGCACCAGCCATTCCGTGCTGTTCTGTGACATCAGTACCTTTTGACGTTTTAGGCATGGTACTTGACCCTGAAATCAGTTAGAACTTTTATTGTCTACCATCTACTTATAATTTTAAAGCTAATAAACAAAAAGTACCACAGCAAAACACTGCTATAAGGAATTGGTAACTAGAACTTTCTACAGAAGGAAAACAAAAAATTGAATATTGATCTACTTAGAAAATGAATATGTCTTTAAAATGCCTTTAATCAATGTTGTACTCAGTATTTATTTATAGACTATTGATACCATTGCCATTACATCATGAAATACTGCTAAGTATTTAATACATGATTAATAAAGTCAGATTTAAACTCTGTTAAATAATTTGTATTCTCAATACAAGGGTACTCATAATCTGTTATAATGATTCTTTTTCTATCCTCAAAATCAGGTCACATTAGAGGTTCCTTGCTTACCCTACAGAGACTGGTTCAACTCTTTCCTAGTGATACTTCCTTAAAGAATGACCTTGGTGTGGGATATCTCTTGATGGGAGACAATGACCACGCCAAGAAGGTATATGAAGAGGTAGGCATCAATCTTCCATTAACGATGTCAAGTTATTTTCAACGTTGTCTTAGTGCTATTTTTTTTTGCAAATTACATGTAATATGCCCAGTCTCTCGTTCCCTTTAAATTTAATAGTGTATGTTATTAGAGTTTGCATATTTGTTTTCACATTGCTTTTTTATTTTTATCTTGATCAGATTTTAAATTTTGGTTAACACTTGTATATAAAAGCCTTCAACTGTGTGATATTTTTAAAACTTCAAATATATCAATCCGTAGGTAGCCTCTCTGAAAGTGTTCTTTGAGACGAAAGAGTAACATAGGTTCTTAGAAATGTAAAGATATATAATCTTTTCCTGGTTTGCACTAGAAGTCCATTCTGGAGGGAGACTGCAGAACATGAGCCTTTCGGGCCTATGAAATAGGGTACTCATTTTGCAGAAGGGCATTGACTCTTCGATCCTCTGGCAAGGATGCCTTTCGAAAGATATCTACTTTATAATGGACGTTTTAATAGATAACCTCTAAATCCCAAGTACCTATATAACCTAGAAAACTAACTCCTTTAGGCAATAAGGAAATTCATTTGATATAATACAAACAGGATGCCAAATAAATGTCAAAGCTGGAGAAAGTGAGTGCCTTTGTATAAGAAAGACGAATGAATCCATTTCCTTGTTATTCTTTGACATAGGCCTGTGGATCGATGGTTTTCAAGCTTCTGCAGTTTACATCAAAATGTTACTATTCCATGTTAGCCAATATGATTCTTTCCCTTTTTAAAATGCTAGCAAGTACAGCAATTTCATACTCAGTCTAGAGACTGAGTCCACTCAAAAAATGGTGCTTTCCTCTGCTTGTTGCTATTGATGCTTCACTGACAATCATTGAATCTTGAAGTTGTCCTTTGACCCTTATTGTAATTTTATATATTCAGAGAGAGCAGAAAGAAGACCTTTGCTTTCTATGGTATCACTAATACCTATGCAATGTGGACTGAACCTACAGTGTTAGAAATCTCTGCCATCTACTAAAGACCTGCTCCAGGTCATAAAATAATTCCATGTGGGAATTATGATGAACAAACCAGACTCAGAGGCCCCCTGTCTTTCAAAGTTTGGTTAGAGGAAACATCATGTATCTCAGTAATTCTTGATCTTATGAATGTAAAGAATGGTCAGACATAGTACACATATACATTAATTTACTGCGGTCAGAGGTCACAAAGATGGAAATGTAGATTTTCTCCTTTCTCCTTTCCCTTCCCTTCCCTTCCCTTCCCTTCCCTTCCTTTCCCTCTCCTTTCCTGCAGATTTCATCTAAAATATACACATGTGAGCAATCTACATCAAATCATTTCACCCCAGAAAGAATGACCATCATCAAGAAATCAAATAGCAACAAATGTTGACAAGGCTATGAGGGAAGAAGGAACCCTTCTGTACTGTTGGTGGGAATGTAAACTAGTACAACCACTTTGGAAATCAGTATGGAGATTCCTCACAAAACTGAAACTAGAAATTCCATTTGACCCATCTTCCTCTTCTAGGTATCTTCCCAAAAGAGTTAAAGTCATCATATTACAGTGACACATGCATACCCATGTTTATAGCAGCATAATTCATAATAGCTAAGTCTTGAAAGCATCCTATATGTCCATTACTAGATGAATGGATAAAGAAAATGTGGTATTTACGCACAGTGTAGTATTACTTAGCCATAAAGAAATATAAGCTTGAGTCATTTGTACAAAAATTAATGCACCTTGAAACTATAACGTTAAGTGAAATAAATTAGACACACAAGCTTAAATATCACATGGTTTCTCTTATATGAGAAACCGAAAGTATAAATAAATAGTAAATTAAAAGATAGTAAGAAGTAGGAAGATAGGTCTATCTGAAAGGGGAGTAGGATGAAGAGATGGCAAGAGAGGGGGGAAAGGGGACTAAAAACAAAGAACCAAGATGTATTATTTACATGCACCAACTCCACACAAAGATGTCAACATTATGTACAACAAACATGTTCGCAAAAATGAAGGAAAGGGGTCAAAAGATAGGTAGAAGGGAGAGGGAGAAAAGGGAAAGGGGATAAATAAAAGGAATTAAGATATATTATGTAGAGGTACCATTTTCCCACAAGGAATATAAACACTATACACTACAAACATGTACTACTACTACTACTACTACTACTAATAAAGCAAAAAAAACAAAGCAGCAAAAACTCTGAAAAACTATCAATGATTTTTATAAATCTATTCAAAAATAAAGATCATTGTGAAGAAAACTCATAAATTCCTTCCTTCTGTCCTTCTTTTCTTCCTCCCTTATTCCCTCCCACCGTCCCTCCCTTCCTTCTTTCTAAAATTCTTTCGTATTTTTCTTCTTTCTTTTCCTCTCTTCCTGCATCCTTCTTTCTTGTCCTCCTCTCATCTGCAAAGCCTGCCCAGGTGCTTTCTGGGTACCAAGCACGTGTAAGGTGGAGGTGCTATCTGAAAGCACCCTAGTCATCGCTACGCCACTTAGGACAGTCCTTCCTCACCTTGTTAAAACCTTCCTTGAGTACATTCATCCTTATTGCCCAAAGGATTTTATTTTACCTTGAAAAATAAAATTTATTTGCTGTTGATTATACATTGAGTACCATAATCTCATCTGATTGAGCATAACAGGAAGCACAAAGTCTAAAATATAACCATATTATACAGTCGAGTTTCTTTTTTTTCGTATTGGGGATTGGACTCTGGTCCTTGCGCTTGCGAGGCAGGCAGCGGAGCCACTGAGCTAAATCCCCAGCCCCAAGTGAGTTTCTTTTTAAAGAAGCATTAATAGGCTGGAAATAAGTGTGGGGTTTGCCTGTTCCCTCCTCTCACTTCTAAGTTAATAAGCTGTGTCTAAAGGGTTCTCTTTCCTTAACCAAAGTTTATCCTGACATATTTATCTCCATTGAAATCATTTTCAGAAAACTAATAATTGGAATTTTTATTTTTCTTCACACTGATTCTTATATTTGAGTAAATTTACACAAATCATTGATAGTTCCCTTTCTGAATTTTTGCTGCTTCATTTCAACAAAGGGACTGGCTTTGAAATGGTTGGATGCAGACTGCTCACATGTGCAGATTTTGGAAGCCCCTCCTGTGGCTTCCTTCCAAGTTAGTCACACCCCAGTGTCCCACGCAGCCCACAGTCCAAGGCCAATCATCATTCCTGATGCTTCCCTGCTCTCATGCCTCACATATCTTTTACTCAGTCAACTTCCATTTATTAAAACCCATACATGCTAGCTCAAAAATGGTAGTTAATGAAATAAACACACCCTGTACCTTCATGAAGTTTACAAATCATTCATCTTGTTCTATTTTTTTTCCTAATCGCTTTGAGATCCTTTCCCTTTTAACCAGGCACTCATCATCTCCTGCTTGAACTAGCGCAGATCTGCTCTGCTCAGATTTGTTCCTTTCTGGCCTTCATAAACCCAAAACACAATCTGAGCATCTAACTCAGTGTCCATCACTCAGAGCAATGGTCTTTAAACATCTTTAATTGTTTACTTTCCCAGGCAAAAATTTTCAAACAAGCACCTTCGGTATGCTTGTTTACGGATGTATATATTTCCTATATATGTACATATCCTAATATAGTATATACTTTATAAAAAGTATGTGTGCCCAAATAAGCTTTAAAAATAAAATGAAATATTTAAAGCACATTTCAAATCTTATTTAACTGATGAAAAACTCCTTCATGCTCACTAAAAAATTAATATTCTAATAATATCAATGTGTAGTGTTATGTGTGATTACAGTAGTCCCCCTTTAACTATGGTGGATACATTCTAAGACCCAGAGTCAGTGCCTGAAATCAAAGATAGTACTGAAGTTCATGTACGTGGTCTATTACAGTGAAGCTTCATGGCCACTAATAAGTAAAATAAGAGTTTTTAAAGGCCAGCATTGTGATACCTCAACAGTTAGTCTGGTGACAGAAATGGCTACTGTGTGTATTTGTACTGTATTAGTTTTTCCTGTTGCTGGCACACTACCCCACACCCACAAGTTAAGGGAGAAGAGTTTCTTTGGCTCATGGTTTCAGAGTATTCATTCCGTGGTTGGCTGGCTCGAAGGCAGGGACATGATGGCAGAAGGATATAGCAGTGCAAAGGTATTCCGAGAGGCAGAGCAGGGGAACAGCACCAGAGAAGAAGGGGCTAGGGACTAGGGACTGATATAGCACCCAAGGTCAAGCCTGCATGACCCACACAGACACACCCAAAGGTGCTTCATTAACTAGGTTGCTCCCAAGCTAATCAAGCTGACAGTGAACCTTCACATGCTGCCCCTCAACAACTTAACATACAAATACATCTCCTTAAACCGTACTCCAGTAATCACAATACTAAGTTAATCATTTCACTTGCCAGGATGCAATAATCTTGCATACAAATGAAAACTCAATAATCCCTTTTCCAAAGTGTCAGAAGTTCCAGAAGTTTGCAAAAGTCCAACTGAAATAAACCAGACACAAGAAGCTTAAATATCAGGTGGTTTCTCTTATATGAGAAACCCCGAATAAAAATAAAGAGCAAAGTAAAGGACAGATAATAAGTAAAGAGGTAGATTTTTCTCATATGAGAAGGAGATTAAGCAATGAAGGGAAAGGATGGGGAAGAAGAAAGAGTTGAAAAAAGAAATGAGATATGTTATATACAAGTACCAACTCCCCATAAGGAATGGAATCATACTGGAAACAGTGTACAAATAAAAAATTAAAACTGAAAAACAATCTTCTGAGACTCCAGACAAACTTTTATTTATGAAACTCTAAAAATCAAAAATAAGTTACCTCATCCCAAGGTACAATATCACAGGATCAATGTTCCCATTCCAACAGGGAGGAAAGAAGGGTTAGAAAAGAATCAGAGAAAAGCAAGACTGAAGCCCTGTAAGGTAAACATTATGTCCCATAGTTCCATGTTCAGCATCTGGAGCACATGTTAGTAAGACATGAGTTACAGAGGTCATGGTTGTACCCACTCCTGTGACCTTGCTATTCTTAGCCCACAAGGCCTCTCTTCCTTGGTCTGGGTCCACTCACAGCCTGCAGCTTTCCTCAGCAGACATTCCACATTCCTATCATCTCGAATTTCCTGAGGTCTCTATTGCACCAGTGGCTTCATTCCCACAGCTTCACGCATTGCCTTCTTTCTTAGGGACTCCCTGCATGCCTTCCCAGGCCTTCCTTTGAAAACTTGCTGGAAGCCTCCTTAATCGCATTCTGCATGCTGGTAAAAGCAGCATCATGTGCACAATGTGAATGTCTGCTGCCAGCAGAAGTAGTAGCCAGGCCCCCTGGGATCATGGTGGCAGTGACCTCTGAGTGGTGAGTACAGACAGAGAAATAAATCCCGGAGAACCAGTTCTGTAGGTGACCCTTCTCAAGCAGGAGGCTCACGGACTCTTCTCAAATGAAACATTTTTATATCTTCGAGCCTTTAATGAGTGAGATACCTTCAAGGCTTCTTTCTTCTCATCCCTATACCAAATAGTTGCTTTCTTTTTAATTGAAGTAATCTCCTCAGCAACCACACCTCCTTTGGCCCTAACTCTGCATATGATTTCCTTTGGACCAAAATTTAAGTTTTTCATATTTTTCTCCTCTGCTTTACGCACCCAATTCTCACTATAAATTTGTCTGAAAGCAGCCAGCAGTACCCATATCACATCCTGAATGTTAGACTGCCTTGAAATTTTCTCTGACAAATCAATTAGCTCACCACCCTTAATCTCAGTCTCTCCCAAATTCTCAAGATATGATCAAAATGTAGACACTTTTTTTTTTTTTTTGCCAAAGTGGAAAATGCATGGCTTCTAGTCAGTTGTCGGTGAAGTCCTTGTTTCCATCTGAATCCACCTGAGCCCACCCTTCCACCCTTTACTGTCTGCATTCCTATCACCATTCTGATCTTCCGACCTCTGACCAGAATCAACCATCAGGCTCTGCTTACAGCATTCTAGGGCTTCTCCAGTTTCACACCTCCAAACCCCTCCTGCAAACCAGTTCCAAAAGCTTCTGAACCACATGGTAATGTGTGATCAAAGGAATGACTCTACTTCTCTGGTACCATGTTTCTGTAGCAGTCAGCTTACCCACTGCTGGGGAAAGCTACCCAGCACACAACTTGAAGGAGGAGAGGCTTATTTGTCTCATGGTTTCAGAGGATTTACTCTATGGTCAGCTGACTTCAAGGTAGAAACATCATGGCAGAATGGAATGGCATATAGAGTTGCTTAGTTCATGGCAACCAGGAAGCAGAGTAAGATAATAACATCAGGGAGGAAGGAGCCAGAGGCTAGATATACACCCCAAGGTCATACGGCTCCTAAGCCAATCAAGTTGACAATTAAGCTTAAGTGTCACAATAATTAATTTTGTTAGTTATCTGTGGTGATGGCTGTGTGCCTGTTGTAGGCAGAAATGTCATCCATGTAGCTGTAATAATTATAATAATTCCTTCATAGCTATGCTAGCAGAAGCATGATCTGTACCTTTTCAGTTCGGTTCCAAAGGTAATGACTAAACTCCTGGTCAGTATCTGCCTTGGGGACAGTGCTATGGAACATGCAGAAGCAGCAGAGCTGTGCTTGCAGAGGTCTCTTTAGGAAGAAAACCCCAGCATGCTTTTTTTTCACTCATCCTGTGTTTAGACAGAGTTTTTGAGGACCCTCTGTGTGCTAGGCACTGAAGTTGAGCAGTGTGCCATGCAGACAAAATCCCTGAAGAGCAAACATTTTGGTGGGAGAATAAAGAATATAATAGTTCAGATGGCTATGAAGAAAAATGATCCAGCATAGAGAAGTGACTAGTCCTGGGGGAGGGGTCTGTTTTAGTACTAGGGCTGGTGGTCAGTGGTATGCTTCGCTGAGGTGGTGAGCTCTGAGCAAGGGCTCCATCATTCAGATAAGGGAGTGAGCCATTTGGATGTCTGAGGGAAGTCTGTGAGCCGGGGTGCATTGTGAGTGCAAAGGTCCTGAAGCAGGGCTGTCCTTGACTTGCTGTGAGCAAGAGAACAGTGTGCCTGGAGGAAGGACAGAGGCAAGAGAGGCAAGAGGTAGAGACGCCCAGCCCAAGGGAGGCCTTGCAAGTGGTCTCCAGAACCTGGTTTTTCACTCTGGCTGAAATGGACCAAAGGAAGGATGGGATGGGACCCAGGTCTTAGCAAGTTCCTTCATGGGCCACGTGGAGAACGGACTACAAGGGAGCAGAGGGGTGGCAGATAGGAGGCTCCTATACAACTGCGGAGGGATGATGCAACTTTGACAGGGTGGCAGTGGTGAAGGAAGTGTCAAGTGTTACGGTTCTGAATGCACCCTGAAGGTTATGTTGGCTGAATTTTGAAAGGATGAGGTGCATGGTCTGATTCAAGCTGAAAACATGAAAGTACGGGCAGTGTGGAAACAAGGCCGTGGTGTCCCCTCTCCGTGAACTTTGCTCCTCCTGTGTGAGGCCCCATGACTCCCCTTTTCCCACTCTGGCTAGAGGTTGAGCAGACTAGACATGCATCTTTTCTCTATATCCACCCAACTCAGACCTTTATCTTTCTCTTTTGTTCCATAAAGTCATTTGTCCAGCAGCTTCACAAGTTCAATATTGTTCTGTGTTGACTTCTCAAGGCTAATATTTAATTGAGAGGCATTTTGTGGAATTGTCTTTAGCTCATAATAGAGACATATAATAATAATAAACAGTGGTGTGGTTTATAGGAAATATTTACCTAGATTTTATCACACAGTATTGCATTTGCTCACCAACATCATTCTCAGTTCTTAAAACAGAGCACTCGAGAAATTTCTATTAATGGGTGGATCCTGATAGTACTATGAATGCAAATTTAAATTTTCTCTTGAATAAGACAATGTAAACAGCATGTATACAAAGCAATATGTAATAACCGTTCAGAATTATCTTAGAGCATTGCAAATTTAGAACAATTTTCCTTAATCACTAAAAAAAACTGAGGTCATATCAATTGACAGATATTTTGCTCACTTGCATTGTTAAAGCAGTGCTTCAACAGTTACTGCCTTTTCACTCTTTTCTTTTTTTCTTGAAGAACCAGTGTGTAAATGTGAAAGCGTATTGATTTCAGAGGAAATAGGACCCTGTAAGTTTCATGATTGCAATGAGACAAAGAACTGTAGTGTTTTAAGCTGTAGCATTATAATCCAATCCGAGTAGAGCAAACTAATTAAAATTTGTTTTGACAGACATTTGTACAATTTATAATGTATCACAATACATTGTTGTCTTTGAGTGTAGGTTCTGAATGTGACACCTAATGATGGCTTTGCTAAAGTACATTATGGCTTCATCCTGAAGGCGCAGAACAGGATTGCTGAAAGCATACCCTATTTAAAGGTGACCGTCACTGCTCTTCCCTTTTCGTCTTTCAGTTTCTTTGAGTCATTTAGACACCCTCCATTATGCCTTGTAGATTGATTGACATGCACAGCTGAGTCTTTTCATCATCAGAAGGTACACCCTGTGACCATGACATTCACAGGCAGTGTGGACCTTTTCCGTAACTGAGAATGTCATATGTAGAAACACCAACTATGTGAGCAGAGGCTATTTGGAAGAGACTTTATGAAGAAATTCATAAAACTGAAACTGTTATAGTTTTTAAATAGTGGCCAAAGTAGACAGAAATTATTGATACGATATTTTAAAAAGCGAACAATCCTTTAAATGTTTGTTTTACAAGTTAATTATATATTGAGACTTCCCTGAAAAGGGCTCATAATTACCTAAACCAAGTGAGGTAACAGGTGCCAGCTGAATATGTCAAACCCCTAAAAGCATGTCTGGTACCTCAAAATATTAAAATTAAAATGTGCTATTTTTTCTCTCATATATATAATTGAATCCTTGTTACATCAGAATCATGTTTGGTCTAGCTTAAGACTATCTAATAGAACTTTTTGCCATGATGGAAATATTTCTCTGTGTTCTCTACCACAGTGACCACTACCCACATGACTACTGAGCATCTAAAATGTGGAACTGTGACACATTTAAAATCTTATTTCATTTTAATTAATTTTGACTGAAATATTAACATGTACCTAACAGTTACCATATTGAGCAGGTTAGAAGTTGCAGTATATTCCACTTCTGTAATCTCCTTTACATGACTTCAGTCAGAGACCCCAAGTAGCAACCCACTGATTGCAAATATCTGTGTTTTATTTGGCCAGTACAGTTCTGTTGAAAAAAATTCTAATTGTTTGCCTTGAGAATCTGGACATGTTGTATAATCATGTAGATTTCTAGCTGCTCCCGAAAGGTCTTATCTGACCTATGACCCTGGCCCAGCACTCTGGGATGCAGCATTGAGTAGTGGCACCCCTAAAATGGACATGTGCCCCCATTTGTCCTGCCTGTTGGGAGGGCTCTGTAACCCTGCACATTCCTTGTCAGGATTCTGCAGGCACGTGTGTTCCTGGGGTTTAAAGTGCTCTCCTTACTTGGCCTCTGACCTAGGAAGGCCTAACAGTATTTCCTTGGCTTCACAGACAGGAAACCGTGGCTAGTTAACAAGCACGGGCTTTGAGCATCAGTCAGTTCATCCTGTCACTTGCTATTTTCTATTATACAAATAAAATTTCTTCCTAGTAAAAGGAAAGGCACTTCTTGGGAAGAAGCCTCAAAGAGGGAGATTTTTAGAAAAGAAGCCCTTGGCATTTAAATATTTTTGACATTTGTCATTCTTTTGGTTTTCTAAGATAATTCTCCTGATTTAATATGCTTTCGCTTTTTATTTTGAAACACAAATTTCAATTTCAGGTCTTGTATAGGAGGTGGGGAGAAATCAACTAAATGTTTTAGGAGTTATTTAATAAAAAAATGAGATTTTCAAGATTTCAGTTGATTCCAATCCTTCTTTGTGTTTTGTAAGAAATTTCATTAAAACATCATGACATGTTTGTTGAGTGTAAAGAAATATGACTTGCAGTTAGGGTGCCATTACTTTAGACATGAGCAATTAAACATTTGGGTAGAGAAATAGAAAGATTCTGCATGACATATGGTCAGATTTGGAGAGCAAAATAAATGTGAGACATATCCAGCCAGAGAAATTATGTGAAATACTGAAATACGATTTCTCCCACACTCGAGGTACACAAAATATTCTACTAATTTTATGGGCAATCCCACTAACTCCATAATTAATTATAAATATTTTGTTAAATTTAACTTTATGATCTCCTTTTGCTTCTGCATTATCAATTTTGACCAATAATCTCATTGCCCAATTTTAACATTGAATGTGTTTTTCTAGTTGTTAGATTTTTCTATGATATACTGTATTCTATATATAAGAAAAGCTACATAAATCAAGGCATGAAATTTGGCAGGTATTTAATTCTGTCATAGATCCTAACACTGCTCTTTCTACAGGAAGGAATAGAGTCTGGGGATCCTGGCACTGATGACGGGAGATTTTATTTCCACTTGGGGGATGCCATGCAGAGGGTTGGAAACAAAGAGGTAATGAGTTTATGGCTTTTTATTCACTCTAACAGAGAATGAAGTGCTGGGGGTTGGGGGGGCGGGGGGTTTCTACGAGAAAATTACAATTGAAAACATATTTTGTGCATAAACATTTGAAGGCAATGATTTAAACAATTAGCTATGTGTTGTCTTCAAAATAACCCAACAATTCTAGCTTAATCTTATTACAAATTTGGGGGATTTGGCTTTTATAGTTTAAGAAATCAGCTAAGTAACCACAAGCACAGCCTCTAAACTGAGGAGTGTGTGTATCTGTATATCTGTTTGTGTCACTCTATTTAGAGAAATAGATATTGCCTTGGGAAAAAATTCTTTAAAATTATAAAAATGAACACATGACTCTGAAATTGCTTGAATTTTAAAAACATCTTATTGGTTTTCCTAGATTACTTTTTGTTTTATTTTGGAATTGTAAAAGTAGTTATCAGTAGAATGAAGTCTTTGCTCAACCTATTCCTAAGCACTATGGTTCATTGTGTAACTTACCTTCTGAAACATTTAATGCCAAGTTTAAGATGAACAAAAGCTAGGGTAATGACAGGTTCTGACATAAAATAATGTAGTAACTAAAGCAAGTTACACGTTTTCTTTGTGGTTACTACTTTTTTCCTGAGCACAGCCATCAGCTTCTGTAAACAGACTATTGCATCATTAATTATGACATCACGTACTATCACTTTCAAGCCCCCCATAGTCGGCTGTGATTTATGTGTCACTGCTGGATGGCCAAGCTTCCCTTTCTCATTCTGCACCATTGCAGAGCTCCCAGCCTCAGCTGTACTTAGAGTCAGTGGCTAAAGGGGTGAAGTGAAACACTGAATCTTTGTAACCAGTACATTCTATCCATGTGTTAAGGTGACATCTAGGATAACACAGCTTCAGATTTCTAAAGTAAATAAGAACCTAGGACCATCTGGACAACTGAGGGTTCAGAGAAGCAAGAGGATTTGTGGTGCTATAATTGCCTGCAACGGAAATGAACAAATTTGCAGTAATAGAAGATTGGATTATTGACCCTCTTGTCATTATACATTTATATTAATCTATCCATTTCCCCTTCTAACTTAACCAATCAGTTAACTAAACTAGAATGAGATGTTAGAAGAAAAATAAGGCAGATAAAATTACTGATTAGTAATCATTTTCGTGTTCCTTCATTCTTTTAGATATAAAAGGAATCCTTTGAAGGAGAGGGAGAAGAAAGATTTTGCTACAGTATCTAACAATGGATAAATGTTTGAGTTTGATTATTCTATATATAATTGTCGGTAATTAATTTATCTTTGAACATTTCAGGGTCCAAAGCAAAGGCAGATAAAAGAGCTCTATGATTTGTCTCACATCTTAGATGAAAACAGCTCTTACTTCAAGGACAAAGAATTCACTACCAAACAGTTGTTAAAGGCTTGGTATTTGAACCTATGGGACTGTTCTACCAACTTAATTATCATTAATATACAGCATAGTTCTTGAATTCAAAAAGTTCACAAGCGTTCATCACTACAGGAGAGTGCAAACAAGCCTGTAGATGCGCTGTTTTAATACTTTCCTGGTACGACGTGTTGAGTCTGCATCCATGAGTTTGCATATCAGGAAGCCACCACCCTTCGTGTTTCCATGCATGGAGCTCTCTTCCCACCCTGAAAGAGGACAGATGCAGGAGAGCAGACCCACAGCCCTGAGGCTGATGATCAAATGGCTTTTGAAGAAAATTGTAATAACAGACAGGAAAAGGGACAGAGACAAATCATGACAGTCTTACAATAGTTCAGCTTTTACTAGTTCCTAGTAATTCCATAACTTCCAAATCCATATTCTAGCTTCTTTTCTAGTCTCATTCTTAAAGTCCAGATTCATATGTCTATTGCCTGCTTGTTGTCACCATAGGGATGTCACAGAGGCAACTCACATGTCTTCCTCTAATCCATTATTTCTCCTGGGTCCCACCTCTCATTCCATGATATTGCCCCCTTTCCAGAATCAAGATGTGCATCAGCTTTCCCTATCCATCATTCAGAGCAAGTTATGGGAATTTGGCCTCCTGAGCTCTTGTCAGCCCCATCATGCTCCTTCCTGGCTCAGGGCTATTAATTCCAGCCTGTGTTACCTGTACCCTCAGGGACAGCTGTAAGAACCTGTCTCACTTGAAAGTCTCACTTTCTTTCAGACCACCCTATGCTCAAAAATACTGCTGTAAAAAGTCAAGTCCTATTTCCATGCAATAGCACTTAGTATTCTGCAGGCAGTTGCGGCCAGCTGTGCTCTCTGGAAGTATGTCTGACAGGCTCCTGTGTACAGCACACTGCGGGCACACCAGGCTCAGCTGTGCCACTGGTGGCAGAGCACTGCACAAACATGACCCAGGCTCTTCTGAGTTAGAGACCTTTGGAGTATTCTTTGTGTGTCCGTGTGCATGCATGCATGTATGTGTGTTATAAAACCAGACATGGCAATAATTTGACAAAGTAGAGATAACAGTGATATAGAACACATATAATTAACCCAGGCACTATTACTGTCAAATTTTAATATTCTTGATTGTAAGTATAAAATTCTTGACTAGGCAAAAAAATAATAAAGAAGAAAGTTTTGGAGGTTTCTAACTTGATCGTGGATTTACTAACAATTTTTATTTTAAATTGGCTTAGATGTTTTAAAAAAACTAGCTGAATTCATTGAGTCTCCTATATCATATGTTAATAAAGGTTTTTTTCAGGCTAATATAACATTTTCATCATTTTGTTCCCCCTAAAAGTTAAATGGGAAAGAAATACAAAATTAAGGGCCCTGTTTGAGGCAGTAGCACTTACTCTGAACTTCAGTAAAGACCTTACAGATAGTCTCAACCTGGGAATCGCCCAGCCTTCCCACATAAGAAGGACTAAGAAACTAAGACTTCTAACTCCTGGAATGTGGGCTGTTTTGGTTTTCTTGTATTACTTTTTTTTTCACTGTTCAATCAATATGCCTTATCCTTAATATGAATTACTCATAATACAAGACTTAGTGGACTGTCAGACTTTCCTTAATAACGTTTTTGTTTGTTTGTTTCTTTGTGTTTTTGTGGGGGTTTTTGTTTCTTTTGGTACTACACTAGTCCCTAGTGTATGCTAAACAGGCACTGTTTCAGCGAGCTACAGGCACTGATCACTTTAACACCAAAAGGTTTAGGAAACAAAATCCTAAATTCAAATTTGATGAAATCACAATAGTAAAATTAATTTAAAAGATGAATATTCTTTCTTTTTTAAACCAGATAACAATTGACTATTTTAACCTTCTGGTAAAGAAACTTTGGCTACAACTTACATGTATTTCTAGGTAAACATTTAAGAATGATTATCATATGTGTTCTTAATTTGAGATACTGAGAAAGATATTAAATAGGAAAATCTCTTTTATTAGTTTTTTTCTTTAAAGATAGAGTTAACCAAGATGCCAGGAGGCTTGGATTTTTGTTCTAGAAATTTAACTTTTATAAGCCTCTTTCAGCATTTGTAAGATAGAGATATTTGGAGTAGATTAAATGAGATTTTAAAAGTAAATGATAAACTGTGAAGTCTAATTGACAATATGAGGTGAGGGCCAGGGTTTTAGCTCAGTGGCCCTGTGCCTGCCTGGTAAGCACAAGGTCTTGAGTTTGATCCCTGGTACCAAAAAAAAAGAAAAAAAGAAAAGAAAGAAAATATGAGGTGACATTGCTATCATCCTTCACTTTTCTAATGAAGAAAAATTTTAAATATGAATGTTAATACACTTGTAGAAGTTAAGTTTTTGCATCAAAAGAAGATATTCAGGTTGATATTAAATGCTTGTTTGTATTGATCAAACATGTATTTGAAATCACTATTCCAAAGCAATCACTACAGCAGACTTGTACTAAAAGAGAGGAAAAGATTTCGTCACTACTAGGAAAGGCTTCTGTGGCAAAAACAATGGGACATGCATGGGGCAGACGGCATGTAGGGAGAGCCACTTATGAGCATATGGCCAGGGCATTACTGGGAAGAGCCATCTGGAGCAACAAATTCCACAGTCAGCTGTTTCTGAAATGCTAATCTTTCATGGAGACCAGTTGTATCGTGTTGCACACACCCTAAAGCCACAAGCACTATCCCTTATGGCAGAAAAAAAAAATATGTATTAGGAGCAAAAGTTCCCTTTTAAAAAAATCTTATATGAAGCCAAGCATGGTGGTGCATCCCTATAATCTCAGCACTCTGGGAGGCAAGAGAATGCCGTTTGAAGCTAGTGTGGGCAATTTAGCAAAACCCTGTCTCCAAATGAAAATAAAAAAGGGTCAGGAACATAGCTCTGTGTGAAATCCCTGATTTTAATTGCCAGTTTCATAAAAAGGAAAAAAAATGATATGTCTAACTATTAACCATCAACTATCTACCAACAGAATAATATTTCTTTTCTGTCTACTTATTTTAATGGAGGATTTACATTTTTCTCTTTGGGATATCCTGTAATGTCAGTATTCTGAGAAGCTGAGGCAGAAAGATACCAAGGTACAGCCCAGCATAGGCAAATTAGAAACTTGGCAAGACCCTGTCTCAAAATAAAAATTTTGAGCTGGGAATGTAGCTCAGTGTGATGGCTGTGAATTTAATCCCTAGAACTACAAAAGAAAAAACATCTGATATGGCCATGACCATATTTAATACCATCTCAGAATAATATTTCCTGTCTAACTAATGTAGTAGACCATTACACTGTCATTTAGGGGTAGCCTCCTTAAGTTGGGACATGGAGAATAAGTGCACATGAAATCACTCTCCATTTCAGGATCTCAGTTCAGTAAATGGAAATATATTTGAAGAAATTATTAAAGTCATACTCTGTTCTTTTTAAAGAAAATAAAAATCAAACTTAGAAATGAAAGCTAAAGTATAAAGATAGTCTCCTTTAGTGTCTTACATTGTTAATCAACAAATAAGTTCTAGACTCTACCAGACACTCGGGGGACCAAAACAGACAGAACAGTGTTCAGAGAACCTCAGAGTGAGAATATAGTGCGTGTGTTCACTTACACTACCAGCTCATAATCAGAAACCCAATGAAATAACAGTATTTTTGCCAGATTTCTATAGATTTAGGTACCTAACAGGCAAGTTCTGCACTCAAATATCTCAAGTACAGACAAGTCAGGGACTCCTTAAGATAGGTGGACTTGAGATTTTTCAACGTTATGGCGGTGTGAAAGCCATATGTGTTCAGTGGAAACCATATTTGAAAGTGAAGTCTTTTCCCAGGCTAGCAGTACATAGTACAGTCTTCTCTGTGACACTGGACAGTGGCAGTCAGCCACAGCTCCCAGTCAACCCTGTGATCACGAGGGGAGGCCTCCAGCCCTATACAGTGTACTGTGTTGTTAAGCTAAGTATGTTAGGTGGATTAAATGCATTTTTTATTTAGAGTATTTTCAGTTTATATAATCCTATCACAAATCCAGGAACATCTCTAATACTTTTTTAGTATCTCTAATTTTAAAATTAATAAAAGTGCTTCATTTAAGGAGTAGTAAGGAGCAGAGTCTTTCTATGTTTTTAGGCATATAAGTGGTATGAGCTCGGCTACAAGAGAGGACATTTTGCATCTGTCTGGCAGCGCTCGCTCTACAATGTGAATGGACTGAAAGCCCAGCCATGGTGGACCCCAAGAGAAACGGGGTACACGGAATTAGTCAAGGTGAGTGTTAACATAGACATCATCTTCATCTTTTTTTAACCTTCAAAATCAGAGAATGTTTATCATGGAAAGATTATATTTCCAATAGTATTTTCAAAAATAGGAAAAAAAGAATCTTTTCATCCCATTAGCTCAATGTGACCTTTAGATGATGAAGGTTATTTACCTGGTTCCTAAACTTTTTCCAACTAAAAATGGTGTTACACTCTTGAAAATTACTGAGCATCCCGAGGAATTTTTGTTTGTGTACGTTGTATCTATACATCAAAATTAAAATTGAGAGAAAATTGTTAAAAATTAAAAATAAAATTTGATGTATGAATTCTTAAAAGAACAATAACTATTACATGTTAATATGAGTAATATTTTATAAAGTAATTATATATTCAAAATGAAATATAGTGAGAAGATTGTGATTGTTTTACATTTTTGCAAATCTTTTTAATAACTGGATTCACAGGCGACAGGAGGATTCTTATATCAACTTCACACATATACCCATGAGGGCTGTAATATTACGTATCATATAGGCCCTGGAAAACAATGTGTACCTGTGCACAAATGATCATGAAGAGAGCACAGAATACCTTGCACTATTAAGAACGTAATTTTGAGGTAGGCATGGTGGTACATGTCTGCAATCCCAACACTCGGGAGGCTGAGTGACGAGGAGCACAGACTCATGGCCAACCTCAGTGGCCTGGTGAGACTGTGTCTCAAGAGTAAAGAAGAGAACAGCTTTCATTTTTCAGACACTCCGAAAGAACTTTGGAAACCTTGAGATGTACCTGTGGCCCTGAGGCTATGTAAAGGAAGCAACACATACGAATATTGTTAGTAAATGTTCAGGCAGCTATTTAGGATAGGAGAAACTAAGCGATTCTAACAAGTTAATAGCTGAAACAGTTGGAAATTTGGACATTGATACATTAAATCTGAACTTTAATACTGTCTACTTTGTGATTTGGGTAGGTGCATGGTCAGAAGTTTATTTTTGTTTTAGAATTCCATTCTTCTTAGACACATTAATAAAATGGGACTTATAGTTAATTTATTCATAGTTTTAATGATACTGTTTTTTATTCAAATGGAAATGTCACGTACAGTACAGGCTTCCATAAGACGGGTTCTATATTCTAGCCAGAGAAATCTAACTGCTGTTTATGCATGGTCTATAGAAGATAATGTGAAGATAATATTCAAACAATTGATTTTGCATGTGAGGGACACAGGAAGGGAAAAGTAGGAGTGACAAAACATTGATAATTTTGTAATCTGGGTGATGGATGTTTGGAAGGTTTTTATATTATCCTTTCTACTGTTGGGTATATGTTTAAAATTTTTCATAATCAGGCCAGGGATTTACCTCAGTGGTTCCGGTGCCTGCCTCGCAAGCTCAAGGTCCCGAGTTCGATCCCCGGTACCAAAAAAAATTTTCATAATCTTTTTTCAAAGGATCATCTTGAATAAAGTGTATCTTGGAGACTTACAAGACTTCATGGATTTGGTTTACTTGGGGAAAAGAAACATTTCAATGTGGTTTCAAGGTACTTACATTAAGTAGGTCTTATTGATAGTGGTTATTCTATATTTCATTATAAAAGCATAGTTTATGATCATCACAATCCAGTTGTAAAATAGACTGCTGTCACTTATGCCTTGAATACTTTATAGATCAGAAAACCATGATATGTTGACAGTTTCTGAAGATGAATTTTAAGAGGACCCATATCCAAAGCAGAAATTGTATAGTAGCAATGTCTTTCTTGATAAAACTACTGCAGTTAGCACTGTCTATGATTATTTTTTCCCTTGTAAAATTCCATCTCCTCTCATGTCAGATCACATTCAGCTGATTGTCCTCTACATTTTTTCTTGGTCTCTGTGAGTTTATTTCCCTGCTGTAGCTTTTGGTATGCTTTTAACTTGAAGTAGCAGAAGTGAAATTCAAATCTGGCTTAAACAACATGGAACTTTATTCACTCATATAATTGGAAGCCAAGCAGTAGAGCAGACTTCAGAGTAGTATAATGGAGGGAATGTGTTCTTGGCTTTACACTTCTTTGGTCAACTTTACCCCCATGCCAGCATACTATAAGATGGCTGCCAGCAGCACCTGGACTAGTTGGTTTGAAAGAAATTTTAAAACTCCTTAACATTGTTGAGCCACCACACCAGTCATAAATGGCCTTCTCAAAGTCTCCTGGGAGATCCTTTCCTATTGGTAATAACCACATGACAATGGATACTCACAATTACAACAGTCTGAGATACAAGGAGCTGGCAACAGGCTTCCAAGAGAAGCAGAGTATATCTCTCCATTAACTTGGGAATAGTTATCATTCTCTTCAGTCCGAATGAGCTAATTTAAGTCATATTTCTACTCTGAATCTGTTACTGATTACTGAGATGGGACTATCAAGCCAACAGATCCATCCTGAAAGCCAGGGAAGGGTTAGCTTTCTCTAATTGAGTGGGTTATCTGGAGAGAGATGGATACCAAGCAGTCAGGGTTCTGTTAAGGAGAAAAGGGGTGTGACAGACGTTGGAAAGGAAGCCTATCTGTCTGGGTCATCATTGACTGTGAACCAGAACATTTTTTTCTACTTTCTGTTTTTCCTTTTCTTCATTTTCTGAGAAATCTTGTCCACTGTGGTTTATCTGCTGTGAAAATTTCTACTAAAGCTGTAGTAAAAGGATAGGAAAAATAATCTATCTAAACAGAAAAAGAACTGAAATGGTTGTACTGATATCAGACACAAAAGACTTTAAGACAAGAAGTGTAAATAGAGACAAAGAGGGTCCTTTCATAATAATAAGAAAGCCAGTTCCTCAGGAAGACATATACTTATACACACATTTGTGTACCTAAAAAAATAGCACTGAAATATATGAAGCAAGAACTGTTTAAACTGAGAAATATGTACATCAGCAGTACTAGATGGAGATTTTCATCCTTTGCCTTTTATAATGGACAAAACATTGAAACTGTATATAAAAAGGAAACAAAACATTCAAACAACACTAAGGCAACAAGATCTCACAAACACCTATGGAACATTTCACCAAATATAATCAGGATACGCACTGTTCTCAGGTACACATGAGTCATTCTCCAAAATAGGCCAGATACTTGGCCATAGAACAAGCTCAAGAAATTTAGAAATGTTGCAATCACAGAACATGTTTTTTTACACTATGAGGATGAAATTAAGATTTTTTAAATCAAGAGTCTGCCTTACAGGAATCATTAACAAAAATAAGTCTAATAAATTCACAAATATGTGAAAATTAAATATTGTACTCTTAAGTAACCAATAGGCCAAAAACAAAACTACAAGAGAAATTAGAAGATATGTTAAGATAAGTGAAACAAAAATATCACATAACAAAGCTTTTAGGATACAACAGCAGTGCTTAGATATTGATACTTGCTAGTATCTATATTTTAAAAAGGAGAATGGCTATAAAACATTAACCTGATGATCCATTCTAAGAAACTGACATAGCAGAGCAAAGAAAACCCGATGGAAGCAGAAAAGGAAATAAAATTGAAGTGAAAATAAATGAAATGGTGACTAGGACGATAAAGAAAAATTAGTAACACCAAAATTTGCTTCTTAAAACTAGATTATTTTATAAGCCAACTAATGAAAAATAAGTGAATATTCAAATTACTAAAATCAGAAGTGAAATAAGACGTATCACTACCAACCTTACAAAACTTAAAAGAATTATAAAAGAATAATAGAAAAGGTATAAATCAAAAAAGCAAAGGTAACCTAAATGAAGTTATTAAAACACAAACTACTGAAACTAACTCAGAAAGAAACAAAAATCTGAATAGACCTGTAATAAGTAAAAGAAATGAAAATAGTAACTTAAAAGCTTCCCACAAAAATACACCCAGGCCCAGACTTCTTCACTGCTAAATTGTATCAACTGTTTAAATAAGAATTAGCACCAATCCTTCACAAAATCTTCCAAAAAATATGAGTAAAGGAGCAGCAACTCACTTTATGAAGTCACTATTACTCTGATACCAAAATCAAGGACATCACTGAAAAAGAAAACTAAAAACAAATAGTCCTTGCAAATATTAGGTGTAAAATTCCTCAACAAAACATTAGCATACGGAATCCAGCAATATACAAAAAGAGCTATATACGTGAACAAGAGGCATTTTTTGAAGGCATCCAAATGAAAATAAATCAACTCAGTAAACATGGTCATGACTATATGATTATGATTGTGTTATCTTTTCAGCTGACGCAAGAAATTTGACAAAATCCAATACCTCTTCGAGATAAGAAAAATAATACAACAAACTAGGCAGAGAAGGGAACTGAAAAAGGGCATCTATGAGAAACCTGTAGCTCACAGCACACTTAATTGTAAATGACTGAAGAAGTCAAATTATCTACATCCTTAGATGACATTGCTTTGTATGTAGAATGTCCTAAAAAAATCTGTTTTAAAAAGCATGCATGTTGCTGCGCAAGCACAAGGACCTGAGTTCGATCCCCCATACCAAAAAAACAAAACAAAACAAAACAAAAAGCATGCATGTAATCCCAACAACTCATAAGGCTGAGGCCAGCATGGGCAGCTTCATGAGACCCTGTCTCAAAATAAGGGCTGGGGATGTAGTTCAGTGGTACATTGCTTGCCTAGCACAGATCAATCCCCAGTACAGCAAAAAAAAGTACTAATAAAGGAGTCCATCAAGCCTATAGAATTCAAGGTCAATATGTAAAATCCAATCCTGTTTCTTTACACTAGCAAAACACATTACCAAAATTAAGAAGAGAATAGTAAAATACTATTTTTAGGTTTCTAAGGTTACAATAGCAAAGTATTACAAAGTGGGCAGCTTACACAATAAAAAATTTTTTCTCACTTTTTCAGATCAAGGTGTCAGCAGAGCTGTTCCTTCTGAGGGCAATGAGAATCTGTTCTGTTCCTCTTCCTAAATTCTGGTGGATTTCTGGCAGTCTTTT